TAGAGCACTTGTAAACTTTGTTATATATGTGTGCATAATGAGTGGATGATGACTTGTTTGCGCTAGACTTGGCACACATATTCATAAGCTTCTTATGGTTATCAATGCATATTCTCAAAGTTGAATCTAAAGATGAAATGCGTTTATTCACAAGATTCAAATCTTCATTATTAGGCACATATGCAATTTTATTAGAAGCAGAACATAAATAGTCATTTATAAAAGAAACAGTATCATTTTTTATGTTCTTAACTTCTAACATGGCATTATTTTTATCATGAGTCAAGTTAGCAATATCCAATTTTAAATTATTGTTTTCCAAATTTAACATATCATTATTTACTTTAAGAACATCATTTTCTTGAGTAATGATATCAAATTTGAAAGCTAACTTCTCATGATCGGATTTTAATGCAATATGCTTGTTTTCTAAATCAACAAAATCTTTATGCAATTTGTTATAGGCATGCAATAATTTTTCACTAGCACAAGCAAGTTCATCACTAGATAAATCATTATCGGGTTCGGAACCACATACCACACTAGGGCTATCGCCTAGTGGCCGTGCGTATGATGAAGCTACAATATTACCTGAGGAAGAATCCACTGGAATCCTTTGGATCTCCTCCAAGTTACCATGATGTGCTTCTATGAATATCCAAAATTTGTAAGCACTATCAAAATGAGCAAGCTTGTTAGAAATAGAAGAATCAAGTGCATTAAGCATATATTCTAACACAATCTTGTTCATTGTAAACAATCTTTTGTCATTTTTACTCCACTTGGATTTCTTCATAGTGGGTGCAATATAAGCATTATCAATAATTCCCCATAAATCAATATTTTTAGATTGCACAAATAGTTTAAATCTAGAAGCCCATTGTGCATAGGGAAAATTAATGAATTTAGGAGCAACATTAGATTCATAGCCTAACAAAGGTGCACAATTCATGTCCATGATAAATATATATATGTGCAAGCAAGAAAAATGCAACCCAAACAAGATTAGCACAACAAGATAACTTGGATCTTTAACTCTAGGTGATTAGACCTTAAATCAAAGAGCACCAAGCTCTGATACTAATTGTTAGACCCTAGAGGGGGAGGGTGATTAGGGTCTTATGCTAATCTAATCTGATTTTATGTTAATTAAAACTAATTAACAAATTATTGTTGCAAGAGATATATACAATATGTTACAAGCAAGAATAATCAATATGAACAAAGAGCAATATCCTAAAAATGATATATACTATGAGATATATGCGAGAATATATAATGAACACAAAGGTAAACAATCTAAATTAGATAGTGGGTAATATAAACAACAAGTAATATACAAAGGCGATATAATATATGAGCATAAGAAAGGTGCGCCAATGCAATCACAAACAAACGATATGATCACGGAGTTCGGACCTTCCGTCCGACGTCTCCGCTCCCCACTCCTGGGAAAAAATCCACTATCACAACCGGTTTTCTACGCTCACCTGAATAACGTTTATACCTCACAATTTTATTCACGGAGTTCGGTCCCCACGACCTACGTCTCCGCTCCTCACCTCGAGGAGATCTCCATTACACACTTAGTTTTCTAGCTAACCGAAAACTTTACAATCTCATAATATAATAAATGATTTGTTCTCTATAATAGATGAGAACTTAATGTAGACTCACTCTCTAAGTAACACAATCCCACAACCCAATTATACAATGTATGCAAATACAATAAGCTCAATGGTTGTGTGTGTAAACAAAGAGAAATAAAATTAAACTTAATTAAAGTCTAGCAAATATAAATATGACAATGTAAATATAAACAAGTTAGATAATTGAGTTGAGAAAACTTCTCTAGAACAAGAGAGATGGAGATGTGAAGTGGAAAGCTCAAACCACTACAAGAAATTACATCTTTAACGAAGGGATTTTCCTTCGTTAAAGAGCTGAAAACCTTCGTTATTGTATGATAACGACGGGGAAAAAATCCCTTCGTCACCCGTCGTTGAAGCCCTCTTCGCTAAAGGGTCACGAAGGGATATACTACCCGTCGTTATAGAGTCTATAACGACAGAACATATTACCGTCATTAATATTTACGACGGTAATTATCACCGTCGTTACCATCAGTAACTGGGATATTTTCCCGTCGTTACCATCAGTGACGGGATAGTTTCCTGTCGTTACCATCAGTGACATGATATTTTCCCGTCGTTACCATTAGTTTCGGGGATATTTTCCCGTTGTTGAAGACTAATTAATAACGGTTGGATACCGTCGTAAAAGTTCACATAGTGGGTAATTAGTAACCTATCAACGACGGTGCTTTCCCTTCGTTGATGAACAAAATACAGTTTATAAAACAGTCATTGTAGACTAAAAATTTCTAATATACATTAATAATAAATTTTTCATTCATAGGCAACTATCATATTATTCTCAACCAGACACTAAGATTCACAACAAAAACATATTAAAAATACCCAATAATAAATAAGAGGTAAAATAAAAATTCCATTCATTAATAACATCAATAAATAAAATTCCATCATCCTCAAATATTCAATACTAATAATAAGAGTTAATATCCTAATTGTTCCAAAGAAAAATACATGAAACTATCTAAAACAAATTAAAATAAAAGTTTGGGGAAGACACATCTCTGACACCTCTAATCATCGTCAAAAGAAGACTCGAGCTACCCCCTCCTAATCTTGCATGGATAGCCTGAAAAATTAAAAAAAAATCACATAATTAAGAAATATCAATTAAGCAAATATTATCTTATTAAGTAAAAAATTATATTTTTTAGTACAAGTAGTCAATCATAAAAGTATATAAGAGATTTTACAAAAAATAATTACCTAGTCATGCACATGTTCTCGAGTTTGAGGAGTCAATGAAGGTGATTGCCTAAAAAAAAGTTCTTGCATAGCTTTCACTTGTGACTCCAACTCAGACATCCGTTGCTGTTGTTGCTCCTGCTCATCTAAGCGTTGTTGAAGCATCTGGTTCTTTCTCTTTTCTTCTATAACCCGTGCTTCCAGATCAGATCGACTAGGGAGCGGTCCTCTCAAATCTTTCAAAGTAGTCCCGCCACCAAATACAGTAATGTGACCATGAGATTGCTTCCCCCAGATTTTCTCAACTATCTCAATGTCAGAAAGTGAAGGGTTTGCTTGTTTGACTTGAACAATTTCATCCTATAAAAATTAAATTCATATGTTAGTACTATATAATGCATCATTATCAAACTTAAACACATATTCTACTTACATATTTATCTTGATCCCCATTTTCTAGTGTTTCATTAGCTTTCTTTCGAGTTTCATGAAACATTTTTGCCACATCAGGTGGATTTCCTGACTTGCCACCGTTATTCAAATATTAAATAAAAATGAGTACAACATTAAACTAAAAAACAAAGTAGTTATAAATAAATAAGAAATTAGTTTTGAATGTATACCAATTCCCACGCAATTTGTCTAAAGGGTTTGCTGCCCGTGTGGTGGAGCATCTTTCTTTTGCCTCTGTTAAGTGTATTTTGTTGGCTTGCTTTCTATACATCAACATTAAAAGATAATTTCAACAATCCAACAATATACATGGAACAAAATTAATAAAATTAGGAGATTAATACCTGAAATTTTGAAGAAAAATAATGTTCCTTAACTAGCCAATCCCAGTCATCAACACTCACTTCTGTAGGTTTATTTCTAAGTACAACTTGTAATGAATTTTCTTTCACATATTTCCTGTGCATGTCACCACGCCACTTATTCCACAAATCGCGCAAGTGTCTCGTTACTAACTCTCTCTTTTGCTCCATGTCCTCAGCATCAAATTTATCCTAATCAAATTTGAATCAAAATTTAATTCATAAGAATTAAAAACCAAATGCATTTAATTAATTTTCAATGTACCTTAATGGATGCCCACATATGATCTTTATTTTGCTGTGGTATTTTGGCCCAATTCTCCCCACATATGATCTTTATTTTGTTATGGTATTTTGGCCCAATTCTCAACAGCTACTGGGCAAATATTTCTATCACGAATAATAATTCCAAGATATCGTGAAAATTCTGGCTCAATAGCTCTATTCTGATAAAAAGTAATGATCTTTTTCTCCCCATGTGACAAATTATTCAACTTTAGACACTTATTATTACCACGAGGTGGATTTTTCTTCTTATGAGAATTATCAGCTGCATACATCATATCATATGTTAGAAACAAGATATAGGTAAAAAGAAATTGATAAAAATATTACTTCTTGTAATTAATAAAGAATATACCTTCTTGTCGAGATTCATTTAGTATTACATCATCACTTTGCACTCGATGATTATTTGATTCTGCAAAAAATTGGGCAATTATTAATCCAATCATAAAAAATAAATTGAAAGATAAAAACAAATAATAATAAATTTTAAGTCTCATCAACCTGCAGAATCATCATTCTCTTCATTGTTAGTATTTGCACTTCTCCTGCGATTTTGTGCAAAATTCTCCTCTTCAAAGTTTTCTGAATCAGCACTAAAATTTGTACCCATATTTTGATCTTGTATTGGATTTTGAATATTCAAGTTCTTGTCATGACAAGTACGGAGTTGTTCCCTTCTTAATGAATTTTCTGCAAGTGCTTGAAGTCGCTTCCTAATTAATGACATGGGTGCTAGAAATTGTGCCCTTTTGCTTTTGGAAGTGACTTCTTAAGTTTTCATTTTTCTGCTATGAATAGGAATTTAAGTATCATACACTATGTATAAAACAAATGTCAAAAGAGAAATGAATAAAAAAAGAAATCCCCAAGGACAAGCATAATAATAAATACATAATACACTAATGTAGAAGCACTTGCTGCAATGTCAAAGCCACATCCAAAATATGAAGAAAAGAACATCATATGTCTAAAAAAAGAATAGTTATAGTAAGATACAACTTAAAATTTATCTCAATAACACAATATCATTTGTGTTCTATTCTTTAATTAAAGCGTTCTAATTCTCTGCTTGAGTCTTTTTCCTCTTTTTTGAAGTTGAGACCGAATTTACAATAATTGGATCAATATCGCTCCTTCTCAAATTGATACCATCATCTACTAATGATGTTGATGCAATAGCCTGAGCATCAAATGATTCATCTTGCAAATAAGCTTCAACTCCATCGTCTGTTATCTCACAATCATCTGTATTTGGTGGCATATCATAGGAATCACGGGGTTGTGCTTTAAGAACTACATGCCAACCTTCATTGGCAATATCCTCAACATAAAAAACTTGTGATGCTTGGCCAGCAAGTATAAAGTGGTCATTCGTCTTTAGCAAATGTCGGCAGTTAATACTAACAAATCCATATTTATCTTCTTTCAAAGCGGTCTCTTTTCCTTTGCCGTGCACATCCCACCACTTACAACGAAATAGAACAACCTTTCTTCCACCAAGATACTCTAATTCGACAACTTCAACCAAAGCACCATAATAATCTATATCTCCACCATCACCAGCATCACCAACAACCGCAACCCCACTATTTTGAGTTGACAAACAATTATCTCGACTTTCTGTATGAAATCGATGTCCATTTATGACAAATCCAGTAAGACATTTAACAATCTTACTTGGACCATGAGATAATGAAAGTAAGTCATCATCTTCTCGATAACTCTGATAAACCTAAACAAAACCAAAATATGATCAAGTCATGGAACATGTAATAAAATGAACCAATCAAGATATTAAAAAATAAGGCAAGATATGTACATACTAGAGATTGGAACCACTCGATAAAGTTCTTATCCCAATCTTTATCATCATAGTGATTTGTGGGTTCTCTCACGAATTCATTGTAGTCCCTACATTAAAATATCATAAATATGATTAACGTTGACTAACTATAGTAAATTTATTAGTAGAATCTTAAACTTTAGTGACTTACTCAATGTGTGGTTGTACTTTATCACAGTTCTTTAGAACATAAATATGAGCTTGCAACCACTCACGTTCATCAAGGTAGCGGGTGGTGGCAGCACCCAATGCCCGCCCACTATGTCTGAAAATAGATAGTTGTGCTTCATTACATTCTCTATTGTCATCTTCATAATTTCTTTCAAGGCGATTAAACTTTCTCTCGAAGCCTTTTAGATATCTTGAGCAAAGTGTCATGCATTCATCTGCTATATATCCTTCAGCAATTGACCCTTCTGGACGTGCCCTATTTCTGATATATGAATTATAAGTATAAAGCTGACGCTCCACTGGGTACATCCATCGAAATCGAACATGCCCTCCAAGTATGGCTTCACTAAATGAACTACTAAATGCAGCATGACATCAAAAATTGAAGGTGGAAAAATCTTCTCAAGCTTACATAACGTCAGTGGAATATGCTCATCAATTTGCTTTAGTTCATCCACCCTTAATGTCTTAGCACATAATATAGTGAAGAATATGGAAAGTTCAATAATTGGTTCACACACTTTTGCAGGAAGAAGGCCACGAATCGATACAGGAATCAAGCGCTGCAAAAGAACGTGACAGTCATGACTCTTTAACCCCAAAATCTTACGCTCTTTAAGATTTACACATTGAGAAATATTGGATGAAAATCCATCTGGAACTTTTAACTCCTTTAGAAATCGACAAAATTTGCTTTGCTCTTCTTGGGATAAAGTATAACAAGCTGCTGGCATCACAAGTTTATCTCCTCTCTGGATTGGATGTAACTCCGGTTTTAAACTCATTGCTTGTAAATCGAGACGGGCTTTGATATTATCATTTGTCTTTCCTTTAATGTTCATGATTGTTTCCAGCAAACTATCACAAATATTCTTCTCAATATGCATGACATCTAAATTATGTCGCAATAAGAGAGTTCTCCAATATGGCAAATAAAAAAAAATACTTTTTTTATTCCAATTATCTCCCCGCCTTTCGTGTGATATTTTAATTTTCTTCTCTGGATGATTGGTCAAGGTGATCCCTATAAGATCTTCCACCTGCTTAAGGATGTCATCTCCGATCAGCTTCGGCGCTGCATACCCTCTCTCCCTAGTGCCATCAAATGATTTCTTATCCTTTCTCCAACTGTTAAGGATGTCATCTCCGATCAGCTTCGGCGCTGCATACCCTTTCTCCCTAGTTCCATCAAATGATTTCTTATCCTTTCTCCAAATGTGATTTTCATCAAGATAGCGACGATGTCCCATATAGCTCTGCTTGCCTCCATATTTTAACCTGATAGAGTGAGTGTGCTTATTACAACAAGGACATGCTAATTTCCCCTTAGTGCTCCATCCAGATAAATTTGCATAAGCAGAAAAATCATTAATAGTCCAAATTAGTGCTGCACGTAAAATGAAATTCTGTCTCAGAGATACATCATATGTTCGAACGCCTGAGGCCCACAACTCCTTTAGTTCTTCTATCAATGGTTGTAAGTAGGTGTCAATAGCATCTCCAGGACCAGTTGGACCAGGAATGAGCATAGATAAAATAAAATTAGATTGCTTCATGCACATCCATGGTGGTAAGTTATATGGTACAAGTAAAACGGGCCATATGCTATAAGAAACTTTTGAATTTGTGAAAGGTTGGAAACCATCACTTGCAAGACCGAGCCTAACATTTCGGGGCTCTTCGGCAAAGCTTTCATGTAGCTCATTAAAGTTTTTCCAAGCCTTAGAGTCAGCTGGATGCCTCATCACTCCGTCCTCAACTTGTCTTTCATGGTGCCATCTCATATCAGAAGCTGTCTTCGAAGACATGTAAAGCCTTTGCAATCGTGGCTTAAGAGGAAAATATCGCAATGTCTTTTGTGGTATTTTTTTACCATTTGCCTTTCGCTTGATCTCTTTTCCATGTTTATCAAGTTTCCATCTAGAAGCACCACATCTCTGACACGTATCAAGACCTTCTTCATTTTTCCAAAACAGCATGCAAGAGAATGGACACGAATCAATTTTTTCATATGATAGGCCAAGGTCTCGGATTAATTTTTTGGCCTCGTCATACGAATTAGGCAGTGTTGATTCCCCTGGCAATAGCTCCTCATTCAAAAACTGGAGCAACATTGAGAATGATTTATTACTCCACCTATTTAGGCTCTTTATGTGAAGTAGTTTCACTAAAGCAGATAACTTTGAACATTTAGAGCCTTCATACAAAGGTTTCTCGGAGTCACCTAAAAGACTGTAGAATTGTTTTGCATGTCCATCTGGTTCCTGCTCAAGAATATCCTGACTCGACGTGGCATCAGGTGCAACAACGCCAGTTGAATTATGAAATAAATCTCCAATCATTTCTTGCATTTCATCGTCACTCTGGCTTTCTTCTATCATTTCTTCTTGTTCTTCATCAAACTCCGAAATGGACTCACCCTGTCTTTCGCCGTGATGACACCAAAATCTGTAGTTTTTAATAATTCCATGAACAATCAAGTGGGTCTTTACCGACTCACGATTACCAGACTTCACATTGCTGCATTTAACACATGGACATCGAATTTCAAAGTCTTCATCCTTTTCATTAAAACTATCCAACAGCTTCTCATATGCATAGTCTAAAAACTGATCAACCCCTTCTTTATATTTTGGATCAAGTCTATCATCATCTACTAGGTCCATCCAATCTTTATTCGGCGCCATTTCAAGCAATGTACTAAAATTTCCTGAAAAATATTTCAACCTCTTCAAAAACTAAACACAAATAAATGCTTAATTTTATGTAGAGACTCATATGTTCAGATATATGGTCATTCTAATGCAAAGAAGTTAACCTATATATGGTGTCATTCAGAAAGTATTTATTTATGCAATTATAGGGTCAATTTAAAGGCAAAAATACTACCATATAACAAATTAGTAAATAGAACAAATTAGTAAAAAAAAAACTCATTTTCCTTTCAAAGCACATGTGACATAGGAACTATGATTATAACTAACAAAATGACTTGTTAATGGAAAGTGGTATGTCCAAGCTTGACAAGTACATCTGAATAGCTAAAGAAATAATCATTTAAAATTCATTTAACTTAAGTAAATACCACACATTTATAGGGTATATAATTGCAACATGTATAGGGTATATAATTGCAACATGTATAGGGTATATAATTGCAACATGTATAGGGTACTTTAAGCCAATATAATTGCAACATGTATATAATGATGGTCAACTGGTCTCTTCACTAATTTTGGTCGTTAAATACTAGATTTCTTGTAGCGATGAACATTTGAGTGAGCAGTCAAAAGAGCGGGGATTGAGTAAGGATTTGGACAACACGTGAAAGGCGGCGCTGGGGTGGGCTGCGCTGGCAGGGTGACGGCGACGGGAATTTTTGAAGAAGTGGGTTTTATAAGAACGTGGGATTTAATTAACAGTATTTATAAAAAGTAAATTAGGGTTTAGTTAAATACAATAGTTGCGGTTATAGGGTGATTTGGATTTCGGGTTATTTATATTTATTTTGATTACTACTCCTATTATCATTAGGAGTTATGATTAATGAAGGTAATTGACCCCTTCGTCTTTAATGGGGCCCAATAACGACGGTATTAGGATCAAATTAATGAAGGGATTAGAAAACCGTTACCCATCTCACATCATTCCTATAATATTTGTAATCACTCGACGAAGGCTTTAAAAATCCGTCGTTATTAGATGCACATTAACGACGGTCAACTAATCCCTTTACTAATTTTGGTCGTTAAATACTGTATTTCTTGTAGTGAACCAAAGATGATCTTCTCTTCTTGTGAAACAATCTTTACAAACTTGAAACTTTTAACCCATACTTAAACAAAACTTAAACTCTTGTAAAAACTTGTTTAAAACATCCCTTGGTGATAGAAAATAGTTATGACAAAGGGGTATATATAGGAAAGAAGAAAACAACCCAAAAAACTCACTAAAAAACAAAAATCAGTAAGTTACCGTTACTGTGCAACGGTAACTTCGACGGTCGACCGTGAGAAATAAAACTACAAAACTACTCTCTGGACTACATACGGTCGACCGTGGCAGTCGACCACACTATAGCATGGTCGACTGTAGCGGTCGACCGCACTGTTCATGGGCAGTTTCTGATTTTGATAGATTCTGAAATTTTATGTATTTGACTTTGTAAAATCAATTAAAAATAGTAAATCAACTCCAAAAATCATGAAATTTTGAGGAAATGTTTTATACATGTAGATAAACATGTTAGAGAAAGAATTTCTGAAATATCACTTCCCAGTTGAGATAAATAAATGTTTGAACATAGATATATAGTTTCTGAAAAAAACTACAGAAAACTCGGTTTTATAAATTCAATTGAAAATAACAAAACAACTCCAAAAATAGTAAAACTAGGGTAAATATTTGTATATATGATGATAAACATGTAAACGAAGAAATTTTTCAAATCGCATTTTCCAATTGTGAAAACGCATCAGTTTTGTAAAAACATGCACGAACATGTGCACGAACATGAGCTTATTAAAAACTTGATTTTGTAAATTCAAATAAATATAACAAATTAATTCCAAAATTGATAAAACTTTAGGAAACATTTATAAACATGAAATTGAACATGTTAGAAAAAGAATTTCTCAAATTGAGTTTCCCATTTGTGAAAACTCGTGTATTTTACAAGTGTGTCCAAAATATAAAAATGTGATATACATGAAATTTGATGTTTTGACATAAACAATGTTTTGAAACCCTATGAAATAATTTTATAGACTTAATAAAATATATATACAATGATTGTTAAGTCCGTAAACCAAAACTTGTGTATATATATAACTATATATATAAAAACCAAATATGTGTGTGTATATATGATTGAGCTTAAAGTACTAACACACATAATATAAAACTTAAAACTAAATTTACCCAAGCTTATGATCTTCAATGAAGATCTATCTTGGTACACTTGCGGATGAAGCTTGAACTTGAATCTTTAACTTTGAATTGCGTAGGCTTCACTTCATAATTCCGCTAACCTCCATTGGATATGATCGTGAATGCGCAATTTCATCCATCCTCCAACATGTTATTTGTATACAATAAATATAATTATACAAACACTAGACAAACAATATTAGAAGTAAATTGTTTATTAAACATCATCAAAATAAGAAGGCCAACAACAACAACTACTCCTCCTACCGGTGTTAATCCCAAATTTAGTGGCGACGAATCTGCACCAAGAGCTCCTAAAAGGCCGAGATCCGATGTGTGGAATTTTTTTGAGAAGATAGACGTCACCAAGGATGAACATGGTAGGATCATCATCCAGAAGGCTAAATTTGTGTTGTACGGCCAGACTTTCCAAGCTCATCATAAGAGCGGCACCAACCACCTCAAACACCATATAGAAAAATACAACAAAGGCCAGAATTCTCAAGGTGATATCCGATAATCTATGATTTTCCAATCCTCCTCTTCTGGTAGTCTCAGTAGTTGAATTATGACGCTGCCCGAGCCAGGAAATACGTAATCAGGTTTATCGTTCTTAAAAACTTTCCTTTTATGTTAGTAGAAGATGATTAATTTGAAGATGATTAGAGATGGTTTTTATCCCGTATGTACAAAAATTTCTCGTTAAACTTGTCAACGTGATATTTTAAAGTATTATCAGGAGGAACAAGGAAAAATAATTTCCTATTTTAAAAATTTAAACTGTAATTTTATTTAATTTTTGATATTTGGACATTTAGAGCACAAACTGGTTATTTATGTATCACAGCACATTGGATTGATAAAAATTAGCAAATGTTTAAAAGAGTTGTTTCTTTTATTGCAATTGAAGAGTCACATACTGGTATTAATATTATAAATTTAATAATTAAAGAACTTGTGAAACTAGAAATTGATCAAATAATATTTTTTCTTGCACAATGCAAGTAATAACAATATAGCTGTTGATTTTATCAAAATAACTCTGTCATTGCCATGTCATGGTGATCTTTTTTATATTAGATGTATCTGTTATATTTTAAATTTAATTATTCAAAGTGCATTTACTGAAATTAAACCTATGATAGAAAATGTTAGAACAATTGCTAATATGCATAATGCTTCTGAAATAAGAATTAAAAGATGGAAACAATGTTGTAAAAGAAAAAATTATAACCCCAGACTAATTCCAAAAGATGTTGACCATAAGTGGAATTCCACCTATACAATGTTAAGTATAGCAATAGAATATAAAGAAATTATAAATGATTTTATAAATTTTTATGCTTCTAGTTCTAGCTCTAGTAATACTTATGGAATAATTGAAGATGAATGGATAATTATATGTAATTTAAATGAGATATTACAAGTCTTTTATGATACTACAATGTTATTATCTGGCTATTATTATCCAACAATTACTTTAGCTGCTTTACAAATTTTAAATATTAAAAAAATTACCAAATATCGTATGAATAATACTTTTGGAGCTATAAATTTTTAAATGGAGAGCAAATTTAATAAGTATTTTAGGCATATTCCTCATATTTTTAGTTTGTGAGTTCTTATTGGTCCATGTTTGAATGATATTGGCCTTTGAAGTTTGTTACAATCATTGTATGGTGGACATATTATAGACTTAGATGATGGATCTACTCTTACTGCTACTTCTCATCATTTAGCTATTAGAAATTATTTTCAAACATTATATAATGAGTATGCAGCTAGACATGGTGTAGCTGTACAACAGTCTACAGCTTCGGCGCCTTCAAGCACAGGCCGAGGTAAAAGTGTAAGTTTTGATAAGTATGCAATGGTAGCTAAACTAACTGATGGATCTGGACTTGGATCAGCATTAGAGGTTTCTGAAATACATGAATATTTATATGCTTCTTTAGTTAAATGTTAAGGAAATGCTTTAAATATTTTGCAATGGTGGAGAGTATATGGATCAGTTTTATATCCTATACTTTTCACCATGGTTCATGACTTACTAACAGTGCAGGTCTCGATGGTAGCTTCGGAATCCGCCTTCAGCACAGCCGAACATTTGATCGACGACCACAGGACATGCTTAGATCCGTATACTCTACAAGCAATGTTGTCCTTATAAGATTGGTGGAGGTACGAGAAGCGAACGTAAGGTATCGATCGGATGACTGTACTTAAAGATAAATTTGAAGAGTTGGGACTAGCAGATAAGTATAAAGATTAAACAATATTCATCAAATTATAATTTTTATTTCTTAACTTTAAATTTGTAATGAATTATTTCGGAAACAGTTACAAATAATAGTTATATAGGTGAGTAGGTGTCAACCTAGTTGGGATATACTCATCTATTATGATGTGATGAATTCCGAAATAAATTTATACTTGTAAAGGATTTATTGATTATTAATAAAGAAGTTATTTTATCATCTTTTATTTTATAATTTTTTGTACTTGTAATTTATGTCATTCCAAGTTATTAATAATATGATTGTTTTTTATTAGCATTTTTTATAATTTTTATGTATATTTTATGACTTATGGGGATTTTTAAAAATTTTAAAAAATATAAAAAACCTGGGCCGGCCCGGAGCCCGGCCCGCTCAGGCCCGGGCCCGGCCCGCTCAGGCCCGGGCCCCGACCCGGGCTTCGGTTTTACCCAGACCGGGCCGGGCCGGATGGACAGGCCTACCTGCAACTACAATACAAA